AACATTCTAATTAAAAGATGTGTTATGCAATAGAATATTACTCAGCGGGGAAAAAACAATGGAATCTTGAAATTCACAGGCAAGAAGAAGAAATCATCATAAATGAGGTAACCCAGTGACAAAAAGACAAACATGGTGTGTATTCATTCACTCATATATGGATATTAGACATTGAGCAAAGGATTACCAGCCTACAATACACACCTCCAGAGAATCTGTGAAACAACAAGGACCCTAACGGTGACTTACATGGTTTCCCAGAGAAGTGGAAAGAGACAAGATCTCCTGAGGGGGAGGAAGTTAGGAGAAAGAGAAGGGGAGAAGAGGAAGGGGAAGGAAGACATGAAGGATGAGGAAGATTGAGCCAGGGAAAGAATAGAGGAAGGCAAAAAAGAGATACCTTAATAGAGGGAGCCATTATAGGTTCAAAGAGAAATCTGGCACTAGGGAAATGTCCATAAATCTACAAGGTTGACCCCAACTAAGAATCTAAGCTATAGGGGAGAGGCTATCTTAAATGCCTTTTTCCCATGATGAGATTGACGGCTACCTTATATGCTGTCATAGAGCCTCATCCAGTAGTTTATGGAAACAGAAGCAGAGACCCACAGCTAAGCACTGAGAAGAATTTCTGGAATCTGATTGTAGAGAGAGAGAGAAGTGATGAGCAAAGGGGTCAAGACCATGCTGGGAAAACCCAAAGAAACAGCTGACCTGAACAAGGAGGAACTCATGAACCCCAGACTGACAGTTCGGAAAGCAGCATAGGACAGTTAGAAAGCCTGGGTAGTCTATAGGGCCCCTGGTAATGCAACAGCAATTATACCTGGTATATTAATGGACATTGAGAGCCCATTCCACATAGAGGGATACTCTTTCAGCCTAGACACATGGGAGAGGGCCTAGGCTCTGCCCCAAATGATGTGACAGACTTTGTTGATCCCCCATAGAAGGCCCCACACTTTCTATGCAGCAGAAGAGGGATGGGATGGGGGTCAGTGGGGGCCATGGGAGGATAGGAGGGAGAGGGAACTGGGGTTGATATATAAAATAAGATTTTTCTAATTTAAATAAAAATAGTGAAATAAACAAAGTATGCTCATAAAATAAATTATGAAATAAAAAGATGTGTTATGAATTATAACCTATTAATGAGGAGCCTTGGGATGCTGGGATGGTTGCTGAATTACCTTAGAAGGATTATCTTGAGTAGATTATTGATTATCTTGATGTAGAAAGGTCCATACTAACTTTGGATGTGACCATTCCCTGGGTAGGGATTGTGGACTGTATAAATTGATTAAGCAAACAAAAAACAAGGATTCGTCTCTCTATTCTTCTGGGAGAATAATACAACCAGCTGCTTCAAGCTGCTGATATCTTGACTTCCCCTTTGTGATGGATACCTTGAACTGTGAGCTAAAACAAATCTTACATTCCTAAGGGAAGAAAAGAAAGGAAGGAAGTAAAGAAAATAGGGAGGGGGAATGGGAAGGAGAGAAAGAAGGAGGAAGAAAGAGAGAAATTGTAGTGGAATATTTTGACCACACTCCCAAGGATTCCAATAAAGTTCAACCTTGAATCAGAGGTCAGAGTCAACAATCAACTGGCCAGAATTAACCATAGAGTTTTTGGCCAACCCAGATTAGGATAGAGAGGACACAGGAAGGAATAGGGAGGGGCTTTGGAAGATCCATGGGCCTTTTTGATCTGGGAAGGTGTAGAGGCAGGGTCAGTTGATCATTCCACCATTGCTCTTTGGATCTATCAGGTTTTTACCTCAACATCTGACTCCTGAGTTTTGTTTAACAATAGAACAATATAAGAAATCACTTCATCTGGTGTCCAATATGTGACAAGAACATGCAGTGGCTTTTACAGTCTCTGCTTCTCCACACCACTAAGGGTCATCAGCTTTTCCTGCCAGGAGTTTCCCTGCAACACCTGAATCCAGAGCTTCACACCCCAATCCCAAATGCTGCAGTCTCAGCTCCCTGCCAATTCTGCAGTCACCAGTGCCTGTAGAAATATTAGGTTTGAAGAGATTTAAGGAAGCAGTCATTTCATATGGTATGCAGGCACCCTATGGGAAGCAGATGTTAAATTCATGGACAACTCAGAACAGGATTATTCCACACAACTGAAAAGATTTAACTACAGCAATATTGGAAGCTGGTCCTCAACTACAATGAAAAAAGTGGTAGAGAGAGAAAGCTAGGGTCACAGAACAATGAAGTAAGGCTAGGGTTATTGAAATTTGTCAAGAGCACCTTCATGGTGAAGACCAGCATGCTGATTTGTAAAGACAGACTACCTAGCTTGCATGAGTAGACAATGTCACTCCAGAAGACATTGGTTATTAGATGAAAGTCACAAAATAAGACATAGAATATATTCCTGGGAGGTTTTGGTCAGAGAGGCCTCCAAAGGACTCCAAAAACATTACCATTGCCCTTGGTTACCTACCATAACTGCATGATAAGACATTTGATAAAGACACTGAATGTTTTAGCTGAGATAGAGAAATCAATCTTAAACCATGCTGATGAGCTTTCATATTACCAGAAAGGGCATAGTAGGCCACTAAAAAAGCAAGAAGCCAATCAATGGCCTTACCAGGTACAGGACCCTGCATGTGGAAAAACCTACCCACCTGGCAACATGTTCCTGCTGATGCAACAGTGGCACAACTGTCCTGAGGTACCTAGTCACTTTCTGATTGGATTTGAGAAATGCCCCACAATAGAGGTCTTACCTGACACTGTTATCCCAGCCCAAAGCCTGGTAGTCATAAGCCCTAGGGTAGAACTCGCAATTTTTATTTTTGCTAAATGGTCATGTTATGAAATTGCCTTCTAAATATTTATGTTTACACCCAAATATATGGGTGTAAGCATAACCCCAACCCTAACCCTTTTAAACAAGTATAATACTTGTTTAAAGAAGCTTCTTTTTGCAATTGCAACAGTCAGTATGGAAAATAAGAGTCTGGGTGCTCAGTCATAACTGGAACATCTACAGAAACACCACAGAAACAAAATCTGTCATGATTATGACCCCACAAGCAGCTGAAGTCACCTACATATGACTAAGCCAGCTGAAATGCCAGCATAGGAGGAGTAGATGCTCTCTAGGCTCTCCCCCCTTACTGAGGAGCTATTGTCTTGGATAGTTGTTGAGGAAGGGAAAAACAATCTTTGAGAATATGGCCGCTGGTAGGAATTCTCATGCTAGACTGGATGGTCCCACATTCATGCACATATGGGCAGCACTATTTGGACTTACTAGGTTAATTTTTAAAGAGGACATGAAGTTGGGGCAGGCATGTTGGAGAAAAGAGAGGTATGGATATTGTTATGGTTCGTTATCACATGCCAGTATGATTTTCAAAAAGAGAGAACTTTGCTTTTTAAAAGAATGCACAGAGAAATTATTTCAAGTAGAATTCAATGCCGAACAAAACATGCTTAATATATAAAACACTTCCAACAGTAAAAGATTTGATGGCCCATAGGATCTTCTGTAGTGCTGGGGATTGTACCCAAGCCCTTCACATGCTAGGCAAACACTCTACCCACAGCTATACTTCCAGGCCTACTATGGAGTTTTCAATCAATACTTTTCAAGAAGTATATTTTATATAAACATTAAATATTTTTATTTTAATTTTAAATAGCTTGTTTTACATGCCAATCCCAGTTCCCTCTCCCTCCCCTCCTCCCGCACCCCCTGCCATCCCCCCCAGCCTCCCTATCACCATTTCCTTAACATTAAATATTTTAAAACTAACAAAAGCTCCTAAACACATGGGAAGTGTGGGGGGAGGAGGGCCAGAGAGGAGGGAAGAGGAAAACATGAGGGATGAGGAAGATTGAGTGGGGGGAGGAATAGAGGAGAGCAAGAGAGACAGCACATCAATGGGGGGAGCCACTATGGGTTTAAAGAAAGGTCTGGCACTAGGAAATTGTACAGAGATCCAGAAGGATGACCCCAGCTAGGACCCTCAGCAATGGTGGAGAGGCTGCCTTAAATGCCCGTCCCCTATAATGAGAATGATGACTGCCTTGGATGCCGTCCTAGAGCCTTCATCCAATGGCTGATGAAGGCAGAAGCTGAGATCCACAGCCAGGCACTGGGCCAAACTCCTGGAATCCAGTTTCATAGAGAGAGGAGTGACAAAAGGTGGGGCGGGGCAGGGAGGGCGCAGGTGGAAGCTCGTGAACCCCAATCTGACGGCTGGGGAACTAGCATGGGACCAAGTCAGGCACCCCGAACTTGAGTGTCAGTTGGGGCCACTGGGCAGTCTATGGGGCCCCTGGTGGTGGAGCCGGGATGTATCACTGGTGCACAGGCAAACTTCGGGAGCTGATTTCTCGTGGAGGGATGCTCTCTTGGCCTGGATACACAGGGGAGGGCCTGGACCCTGCCCCAGATGACTTGAAGGATTTTGATGGTCCCGCATAGAGGTCCTAGCTCTCCCTGGGGAGTGGGTAAGGGGATAGGATGGGGGTGCATGGGAGGATGGGAGGGAGAGGGAGCTGGGATTGATGTGTGGAATGGGATTGTTTCTGATTTAAATAAAATTTACATAAAAATTTAAGCTAGGGTTAAAGAGATGGCTCAGAGGATAAGATCACTGGCTCTTCTTCCAGAGTTTCTGATTCAGTCCCCAGCAACCACATGGTTGCTCACAACCATCTGTAATGAGATCTGGTGTCCTCTTATGGCACACCTGCATACATTCAGATGGAACACTGTATACATAATAAGTAAATCTTTAAAACATTAAAAAAGCTAAGCAATTTTTAATTCAAAACTAAATGCCTGGTACCTAAAAATAACAAATTATGGTAAGCACTGAACCAAAATAATTACATAATATTTGTAGTATCATCTTAAATACTTCCTCACATTTATTTAAACCAGAAAAAAAGAATGTTATGCTTCTTGATTAGTTTAGCTGAGTGTCAGTAATCTCTTTTCAAGAAAAAAATCCTCCATTATCTTGTAATGAAGTGACTATATTTCCAGTACATGAGTCGCACCATATCATGTGTTCTCTTCTGGAAAGTCATTTGTATCACTGGACATGCAGTAGCATAGGCATTGAGTACAAATTTCTGTAGACTCAGAAGGACTGAGTCATACCTCCAGAGCAATCTTGAATGGGATGAAATGATGAGGTTCATCCAGTATGTGACCACAAAGACACTCACCAGAACCAGGACAGTCCAGGTGGCTCTTTGCTCTGGGGAGCGTCTTGCAGAGAGGCTGCTTCTGTGGAGATGCTGTGATCGCCTATGATGCCAGAACAACAGAAGCACCATGTATACACTAGAGAACAGCATGAGTCCCACAAAGAAGACATCCCTGGAAAATGTCAAAATGAAAAACAGTCCCTTTATGATGGAAGTAGTTGGAGATAGTGAGCAGTATTTACTGACAACAAGCAAATTTGTCTGGCTTGTGTTGGAATAAGCTACAGTGAACAAGATGATATTACTACTTAAAGACAAATTGAGGGACCAAAAAAACAAGAAAATATGGATGATGTAATTTGTAAGTATGTGCTTGATTTTATCCATCCAGTCTGTGTATGGGCTGATGGTGGTGGCCTGCAGCACACTCAGGAAGCAGGTGATACAGATGGAGAGGCCCCTCATCACCCTGCTCAGGTAAAACAATATCTTGCATTTAAAGTCATTGTGTAAATTCAGTGACTCAAACATGTCTGGAGACAAGAAATCTAATGCAACGAGTAGCATCACAATATGGACAAGGGCCAAGTGACATGTGATCAGCTCCGTGGGCTTAACTCTGCAGTCTTGAAGGACCATGAAGATGTGCAACAAAAGAAGAAACGTGCTGGCTGAAATTCCAATGCCAATTTGGAAATAACAAACGTTCTTAATGATGACATGAGTGTATATCTTATTTATCTTCATAACAGAGAGGAACATTCTTTATCTAGAAAGAAAGAGAGGGGAGAGAAGAAAGGAAGAAAGGAAAAACCCAATGCCACCATTAAGATTTTTTAAAGATCCTTAACATTTTTTGAGAATTTTGTACAGTGTGTTCTGATCATATTCTTCCTCTACAAATCCTCCAAGTCCACCCCTCTTCCCTACATGCCCAACTTTGTATCCTCTTTTAAACCCATAAAGTCCAATTTGAATTTTTTATTTTATTTGTACATATGGGTGTTTTGCTTGCCTTTATATCTGTGTACCACTTGTTTTCCTGGTGGCCACAAAAGCCAGAAGAGGATACAGGATCCTCTGTTACCTGAGCCTTCGTATTGCAGGATTTCTGACAAGGGCAGCTGGGCTTCATTGCATTATCCTTCTAAATGCACAAAATACTGACTTCCAAGATTAATAATTTAAGGCAAACAATAATCTGTAACATTTAAAACTTAAACAGGTATTATGACTATCAAATTCCTGATCAAATGAACAAATGATCAAAATTAGTGTGACATAATTTTGTTCCACTTTTACAAAATGAAACTATCTTCTCTGCCTTTCATCTTAAAGACACACAGATGTTAGAAAATGGCTCCTACTGGATTCAGAAATTACCAATAACCTCATGATAACTCAGCAACTAAACTAGACTTTACATTACACTTCAGTGAATACATGTCTAATAAATGGACCAAGTTTGATATTTGGGGTGAAAAATCAGGTTCTATGTACTTTTTATAATATATTTTTATAAGATATGTAATCTTGAATAAATAAGGAATGTGTTTTTACCACATTTCTATAATCCACATATGTACTAATATTCTAATCCATATTACAAGTTCCATTCAATATATAAAATACAGTTTTTAAGAAAATATTTGACAAAATTTGAACTCACAAAACTGATTAATAGCAAAATATCTTATTTAGAGATAATTTAGTGATAACCAAAAGTTACTTTGATAATCATTATGTAATAGAATAAAAGTTGTGTATCACCACAGTTAACATCTTACTATTGTACAGCAATAGAACAACTTTCTTTTATAATGACACAAAAAATTGCCTTAAAAGATGATGATTACATAATACAAGTCAATGAATTATTAAAATGATTTTAAGTGTCTCCTGACTTTTAAAATATGATTACAGCATACCAAATTCATTCAGATGTGGTGTGTCCTGCTAGAAGAATTACAAACAAGCATATACAAAGAAACAAACAACAAAGATGTTAAAAAAAGAAAAGCCAACATATAAATCCAATCCAATACTTCAGAAAGTTATAACAACTAAAGTCTTTATCAAGCCTACAAGTTTATGGGTGAAATTATTCTTTTCATTTGTGGTACTTACTTATGATTCCATAAGCATTTAAACAATAACCTAGATAGATACAACTCTGTCGTTTTAGTGGAAACCATCCTACTGCTCCTAGAACCCACCTAGGTCTTCAGCCTTAAGCACTTACTGAAAATGAAGCATAGAAATAAACACTTAGCAGCCTGAGGCTTTTATGTGAGTCAAGTGAAGTGAGGCCCCAGATAGGAACATCATCCACTCCTCTCCCACTGGCCTGCTAATCAAGTCCTGCCTTTCACCAAGACAGCACTGGCTTGGGAATATTAGAAAACGGTGCTACCGATGGGAAAACTCAATTAATCAGTTCCTAAAAAACAACACAGAAGGACCAGCTGGGCTCTCACCTCTTCCCTGCGGGAGCTCATTTTCCCAGTCACATCTGTCTCTCATCCTGCATAAACTCAGTCTCATCCACAGGTGCAGATTACAGCTAAAGACTCTTGTCTCCAGCAAAAGGGTGACACTGTGTCAGACACTGTGTGGTTTGGGAGCCTCCATACAGGACTAGGTGCTATTGTACAAATTAAGCATGCTTAGGAAAAGTGCTCTGAGCTCATGAATTAAATCAAGTCATGATTTCCAACATGCTGGGAAAAACAAGTCTCACCACAGGCAAGCAGCACTGATTATACTCAAGTATAGACAAATATATTTGAACTCTGATAATCATGCAATGGGAGAAAACAAGGCCCTTAATACTCATAATATGTAATGTTATAATTGAATGACTACTAATATGCCATACAAAAATGCTAACTGTGAACCTGCATCTTCATAATACCTTTAAAATAAGAAGGGAACTGCCAGAAACAAGAAACCTTCAAACATATAATACTATTTTAACAAACTTAAAATATAATGGATAGGAACAGGTGTATCTGTGCCATTACCAGCAGCAGAAAATATAGGTTCAAGCATGAACAAGATAGGTACAAAAATTATTCCTCAATAAACTCTGTAAGAACAATAAAGTTTCAAAATTAGAATAGTATATATGTATATGTATATATATTTCAAATGCATTATTGTGTGTATATATATGTTATTATTCATATTAAATTATATACAAACTTTGCGGCAGTCTCCTTTCTCTCTTATCTGTCTCTCTAAATGGTGTATGTAAAGGTAAACAGATCCATACACATGTAGATAAAATAACCACATACTATGAATGGTACTTGGAAATCCAAAATTAAATTAGTTATGTAAATATAAAAATTACACATAGGGTGTTTCATTGGCTTTTGTGTCACTGAGTGCAGATTCTAAATTACATTCTAGCTAAAATTCATCAATTGACTAATTGTCATGGACTTAATTAATTCTGGACCATAAATAAAAGTTATGTCTTAGTGGCTACTATTAGTACTCTGCCCATAGTATTAAGAAGATGATTTAACTATGGGTGTTTGCCTCTGCTTCCATCAGTCACTGTATGAAGGTTCTAGGATGGCATATAGGGTAGACATCAAGTTCATTATCAGGAATGGGCATTTAAGGTGGTCTCTCCACTATTGCTTAGCTTGCCAGTTGATGTCATCCCTTTAGATCACTAGAGGTCTCACTGGTGCCAGATCTCTCTTCTAACCTATGACTCCCTCTATTATGGTATTTTTCATCCTGTTCTTCCCCTATTCTACCCCCCACTAACCTTCCTGTTCTGAACCCATGGAACCCAGTGACAGAGATAGAGGAGCGATGAGCAAATTGGCAAAGAATGGGCTGGCAAAACCAGCAGAGACAGCTGATCTGAACAAGGGGAAGCTCTTTGACCCCTGGTGGACAGCTGGGAGGCCAGCATGGGACTAATCCAGACCCCCTGAGTGTGAGAGTCAGTGAGGAGGCCTGGGCAACCTATGGGGCCCTTAGCAGTAGATCAGTATTTATCCCTAGCATACAAACTGACTTCATGTGTCCATAACACAAAGAGGGATGCTCTCTCAGCCTGGACTCTTAGGGGAGTGTCTGGACCCTGCCCTGAGCGAAATGACAGACTCTTAATATCCCCTATGTGGAAGGAAGTGGGGATAGGGTGGGAGGTTGGGGGAGATGGTGGGAGGCGCAGGAGGAGGTGAGGGAGAGGGAACAGGGATTGACATGTGAAGCAAACTATTTAAAATTAAAGTAATAAAAAGTAAAAAAAGAAGATGATTTAATATCTAATGGAAATGAAATAAGTATTTCCACTCTCATCCTATAAATGTTATCATGTCGTGCCCCTTGTCATATCCTTCCTTCAGGCCCACCCTGGCCAGCACATCCTAAAGGCTAGTCCAGCTTATTGAGTTCACACCCATAATCTGGGTAGCATCACAAACTTTACATAAAACCAGAGTACCATACCCTGGGACAGTCTGAGGAGCCCTGCTTCTCCAACCAAGTTTTAGTACAGGATGCATATCCTTGTCCAACCCCAATTCATGTGTCCATATCAGATGCATAAACAACAAAAATAGTTCACACATCTAGGTCTCATCACAAAAACACAAACAATATGAAAGGTCAAAAGAGTATGTCTTTGCCCCCAACTCCACCAGCCCTATAGAAATGATCTCCAGTGAGAATTACTTAGTTAAAACTCAGAACAAGAATTGTAAAAAGGACTGTCCAAACCTGAATCAAATAATTCAATTAATTTTAAAAACACACAAATCAGTATAAAGAGAATTAACTTAAAGAGACTAAATGACTGACTGATGCCCAAGGAAACATAAATATACAGCTGAATGAAATAATAGAGGCACTCCAGAATATGAAAACCAAACACTGCTGAGAATGCAAGTTGAGGGCAGAGGATAGAGAGCAGAGGCCAGAGAGTATTGGATTTGCTTGCACCCACTGAAAGGGAACCCTGGTCCCATACCCACCAGAAGAGGAAGAGACTCCCTCTGCACCCACTGGGAGAAGGGATGGGAAGAAGACAATATAAAAAACACACTTAGCAACAGAAAAACCAATATGACACTGCCAGAGTCTAGAGACTTTACACCAGCAAGACCCAAACATCCTGATGCAAATGAAACAGAATAGGATGACCTTAAAAAGAACTTCATGGAAATGATAGAGGCCCTCAAAGAAGATATGGGAAAATCCCTTAAAGAAATGGAAAAAAACAAACCAAAAAATGCAAGAAATGGAGGAAAAGACAAAGCAAAAATTGCAAGAAACAATTCAAAGAGTACAAGGGTTGAAAGGTGAAATAGAGATATAATAAAAAACACAGTCTGAGAGAATGTTGGAAATAGAAAAGTTGGGGAAACAGTCAAGTACTACAGATACAAGCATAACCAATAGAACACAATAGATGGAAGAGACAATATCAGGCACTGAAGATACACTAGGAGAAATAGATTCATCAACCATGAAAATCTTATGTGCAACAAATCCCTAACACAAATATCCAGGAAATGTGGGACACCATGAAAAGACCAAACCTAAGAATAATAGGTATAGAAGAAGGTGAAGAAGCCCACCTCAAAGGGGCAGAAAACTTATTCAACAAAATC